AAACTTGGTAGCCCTTCACCCTAGCATGCTACTGACCAAATATCATCTCCCTGGGCAGTTTGGTTATTGAGAAGAAGTTGTTTAAAGTTTTTAACATATTTGACCCCTGTGACCTTGAAAATAGATGAAGGTCATTTATTTGAACAAACTTGGTAGCCCTTCATCCCAATTTGCTTCTGGCCAAATATCATCACCCTAGGCCTTTCGGTTATTAAGAAGAAGTCGTTAAAGTAAAATATTGACGCCGGACGGCGGACGGATGACGGACGGACAGACGGACGGACGGACGACGGACGCCGCACCACGGNTGACGGACGGACGGACGAACGACGGACGCCGCACCACGACATAAGCTCACTTGGCACTTCTTGCCAGGTGAGCTAATTATATAACTAGACAATTGCATTGTACTTCATTTATATTTTTGAGCATATACATATGGATAGAGTTCCAGATCTGTTGATCTTTGTTCACTATACTGGGAATGGGGTCTGGGGCTTTGGATTTGAAAAAAATCTATTGCAGTAAATCCTTAATTTTTTCTGAAGATACCGATATTTCTTTATCAAAATTTATGGTTATTTCAATATTACTTCATTTAAAGGTTATATGTTTGAGCAATAAGATAAAGTTATCATAAATTTGATTTTCACAATTCAGTATAATGAAACAAGACCACATCACAAGAAATGTAATATTTTCCAGCGAGGTTAATCCACCTCCAGCTCACCGTTGGTACTATCAAAGAATTCCTGTAGTGCCTTTGGTCGCCCGTCCAACTGTTCATACTCTGCAGCCTGAAGTATCATCTCAAACCGGTCCAGATCCTTCACGAATCTCGCCTCCGCTGTTGACTGAGTCTCGTATTCCTGTACAAGTTATCAAATTCAAATAGTTAGAATGATGCTGCATTATACTCTCTGGGATTTCTTACAGTGAGTGTCAGTTGTAGATACTGTTTTACTACTGTAGGAATTTCTTTCGCGTATATGGTTCAACCAGTTATAGTTTTCAAAAGTAAAATGTTCAGGTATAAATCCTGGCGGACCTGCATATATTTATGCAGGCCTTGCAAGGCTTTGTCAAGACTTGCCTGAAAGCACCATCAGATAACTAGGTCTGGCCTTATTTCATAAACAAACAACTCTTGTCCAAGCGCTGTTCCACCGGTTCAACCGTTTGGATCAGGGCCCTGATGTCTTTATACAGTGGTAGATAAATTAAGGCAAGAATTTTAAACAATTGTAGATAGATCTAACACCTTTATAAGGGTATTATATCACCATTATTTCATTGATCTTGTATCTGGCAGTTTAGAAACATATATAAGTTTAGAATTCGACAAAACACCTTCCCTATGGAGATTTGATACTTCAAGAGAGGTAACTTCAAATTTGTTTCAGTAAAATACGTTTTTACACAATAATGTGAAAAATTACAAATATTCTAAAAATTAGAATCATTGAAAATGTTAAAGTTTCTTTTAAGATGCAATTTCTGAAATATTTTAATTAAATCTGAACATGCCCTTAATCAAAGCAAATAATGTGCATACCAAGGAAATACCAATTGAAACTAGAGCTGTCACGATACACTTTACCCACGATTCGATACATATCTTGATAGTTGTTCCACGATTCGATTATTTCGATTCGATACACCTTTATCTTAAAATATAAACAAAATGAGATATATAAGCCGTCGATACACGGAAACCCGCAGTGTTTCCACACTTTTGATTTGAAGCTTGCCGGAGCATCACACATTTTCATTTCCTTACGGCTGACCGCCAATTTGTTATGAATGCTTTGTGAAAATTGCATCCTCGCAGCCGTTTGGTTGAGGGTTTAGAGATCAGCCAATGAAATTGAACGTATCAGACGTTTTGGCTGAAGCGGCATACACTAATATTCAGATTGTGACGCATCGAAAAATTCGGAAAAAAAATATCGTGAATTGAATCGAACATAAATAACCGCAGTACAAGTCGCGGTGAATCGTGACACCTATAATAGAAACAAACTATTTAAGCTATCATTCTGTGTGAGAATAACAACTTTTTTACAAGCGGCCCAGGGCACTGGACCTGCATAAATAAAGCTACAAGCAAAATATCAGTATCTTGGACTCAAAGTCATTCAAATCATTTCTGTCACTCTTACTTAACAAACAGACTGTTACTTACTTACCTTCCAGAGAGAAATCATTTCCTGTGAAGCTTCGTCTCCAACCAGACTTGTAATATGTTGCATGGCTTTCTGTCAGGACAAAAATTGATACTTATATAAATCAAAAGGAGTTTTCGATGGGCAGATACATTTTGTACTTCTTAAATTTCGTTAACATTTCATCCTACTGTTTTAGTTCAATTAAAACCATACTTTGGAACTTTCTATAGTTTGGTTTTAATCTATAATTGTCAAAAATCAAGAAAGTATTAATATGAAAATATCTCTGTTTTGGTAAGCAGATTAAATTTATTAAATTATCATACAAATAATACCCCAGTAAATGTCCAGTAGTGCAGTCGTCTCCTAATGTCAAACTAATGTTGAACAATGGCAAGAGACAAGAAGGACAAACATATCATAAATTAGGTGAGTATTAACCCTTTCACCCCTAGGTAACTTAAGTAGACTCTACTGTGTATTGATATGGAGGAGTCCATTATGGTCTACAGTGGTGAAAGGGTTAATATTGTAGAAATGGAATAAAGGAGGCAAAGTAGTCTAAACGTAGCCATAGAACCCCAGGCTGTGACTAGGGTCACAGGTTCAAATCCCTTAATGGCACTGTGTTGTATCCTTGAACAAGATACTTTACTCCACTTGTTATAGTCTACACAGCTGTAAATGAGTATGTGGTTGGGCAGTGCTGGAATTGTTGAATGCTAGCTATATATAAGCACCTAAATGGCAGCACCGGCTGTATGCTCCCCAGGGAGTTGAAAAAGATATTGGCTGGTTGCAAAGGCCCTATAACCACGGATAAAAATGTGTGAACTGCTTTGAGATTGATTACTATAATTAATATATAACTGGTGAATCCCATTATTTTGGTCTCACCTCTTCTCTGATGAACTTCTCGTCCTTAGAAACATTGTCTGACGGTGTGAGATCTCCCACAATACTCTCTGCCATGTCATGGACCAATGACATTTTAATGCACCTATTAATGTTGAAAAATATTTATTACCACATAAATTTGACTTTTGCTATGAGAAATGAAACACTTATTAAATACAAACAAGACACATCTTTAAAACATATAAACATCAGTCTTCATGTATATAGTTACAACTCTGAAATAGCTGTTTATCCTCCATGATATTGCTTCAAAATTATGTATAAAGTTACAAGTCAGAAAAAGCTGTGTACCCTTCATAGTATTGCTTCAAAACATAATTCCGGTTTTAAACAGAGCTAGCTTACTGGTATTCAAATGAAAGTATTGTTACACATATAAGTTTTGATATCATGTTCAGTCATCAGAAATAAAGAGTGAAGTAATTGTATTAAAACGTTTTAATCCTCATGGAGCTAGAAATTAGATATTTTTTATAAGAGATGCTGCTTTGATGTGAAATGAGGGATGAAATCTCTTGAAAAGCTTAGGCTGTCATTTTATTTTAGATGTAATACAAATGTACTTTTCAATATAAAGTTCATGATTCCTATCTAAAACCAATTTAGTATTTTGAAGAAACTGTATTTATCTTGACGTTCGACTCATTTTGGATTGTATAAATCCAAAAACGATCTCCCAAACATTTTTGAGTAATCTCCCTTTAAACACTGTCAATTTCCATTGCTTTATGGGTGAGGAATACAGAAATCTCATCAATGCATGCAAAGTCTAGATCTGCAAGTGACATTGCGAGTTTGTATTTCACATGCTTG